AAAAAAAAAAAAAGAAAACAATCTATTCTTTCTTTTTTTAAAGGGAAAATAACTGAACAGACATTTCACCAAAGAAGATACAGAGATAGCAAATAAGCATGTGTAAAGACGATCAACATCATTAATCACTATGGAAATGGAAATGAAAACTATAATGAAATTCCATTAGAATGGCTCTTAGAATGGCTAGACTTGCAAAGACTGATCATCTCACATGTTGGCATGGATATGGAGGAACTGGAACTCTCAAACACTGCTGGTGGGAACACAAAATGGAAAACTATTTAATGAAGTTTTTTTAAAAGTTAAACACACAGCTACCATAGGATCCAATCATACCAATCCTAAGAACTGAGCCAAGAGACATGAAACCATGCATCAGATAATCAAAATTTAGAAGTGTGACAAGACATCGTGTTGGCAAGGCTGTAGGGAAACAGGCAATCTCATACTTCACTGATGAAAATCCAAATTGGTACAGCTCTTATACAAGGGAATTCAACAATACCAAAGCTACGTATATACTTACCTTTTGACTACTATGAAAAGAAGATACACCTGAAAATACACCTCCAATAATGCAAAAATACATACGCAAGTTTATTCACCTCAGAACTGTCTGTAAAGCAAACAATCTAAATGCCCATTCATAGGAGAGCGGTTGAATAAACTATGTGTATCTCGCCAAGGGAACACTATGTGACTATAAAAATATGAGCGAGGAAGATGTCTGTGAACTGATATGAAGTGATTTCAAGGTACATTGTTACAGAAGAAAAGCCAAGTGCTTAAGATTATTTATGGTATGTTACCTTTCACATACAAAGGAGATATGTAACACACACATGAATTTATTTACTCCCTTGTGCAAAAGGAAATACAGGGAGGATAAACCAGAAACTAAAGAGACCATCACAGGAGGTGGGGTGGGTGTGGGTGGGGTGGAAAGAAAGGGGGACAGGAACAAGGACGAGGAAGAAACGACATTCTCTGAGCACAGGTCTGACTTTTAGATATGGAAATGTTTCATTTACTCAAAAAGTAATTAAATAAAATTAATTACAACCTGGACGGAAGAGGAACCAAAACTGAAAACAAACTATAAAACAAGTGAAACTGTGTTGCAGATGAATAGAACCACCACACTGAAGAGGAAAGGAAGAAAAGAGCCTAATGGTGAAGCACAGTACTTTGACTGCACACTTTATGCTAAAGACAAAAAGAACCGTACACAAATATTTTACTCTTAGTAAATCTGTCTTTCACAGGGTGTAGGTTAGCAATTCCAAAACTAATTTGTATTTAGGATTGAGCAAATATGTACATATATTATAGATGAAGATGGCCAGGTTTCTCACTATCAGAAAAAGGAGTTCAAAATAAAGAAAAGGAAAAAGCTAGAATGAATTCTGTGATATTGGCTTAGAACTGAAGGTATTAGTTGAACTCATGGTTTTTACTATACATAGAGACAAAAAGAGAGACACAGATGTGTGTGTGTGTACTTCCTGGTCTGTTGACACAGCCTAGAAGCAATGACACCCCTGCAATAAGCACACCTGGCGCCCAGCTCTTGGTCTCTAAAGACCAGTCTCCACTAAAAGGAACCGGGACTCCTTGAGGACATGGTTGATTCCAGGGCTGCCACAGGGAAAGGACAAAACAAGCCTGGAAAATTTTGGTGCCAGAAAGGCAGTGGTCAGAAAACGACGAGGGCGTGTTGGAAGGGCACACGAGGCAATTTGAAGTTGCTCCCAATGCCCAAATCCATGTATTTCAGCAACAAAATAAAACACTGATGTGAAGGATCAAAACCCACAGAATAAATATCCATACTGAGTCCAGCATAAGTCATACCAGCATAAATAATTGAATAACTAAATAAATTAGGGAGAAGCAACAGTCTTCCTTACAGGAGAATGCCAGTTAACGTACGCAGCTGGAATGATGGACACACGAAGTCCTCACTTGGCCAACACCACACCACGGTGGCATTTGTTCAGGCAAGAAGCACAGAAGAGTTAAAATTAATGGAAGAAAGTACAATGAGAAGCAGGATATTTGCAGAGTCTCTAAGTATCTCTACATAATATGCTTATTAACTACAAGGGAAAAATAGTCATTTTTCTATCAGGAGAAACCTAGCAGGCAGCATAGTAACTAAAGTTAGCATCGCCAGTAAAAAGATACATCAAATATCAATTAACCACATGCCCTCGTGTGATGCAATGAACAGGGAACATCATCACTGCCACACGATGTTCTTGCCAAAACACACAACCTGAATTTAACCAGGAGAAAACACCCAGCAAACCTCAGCCTCTTGAGTAGCTGGGACTAGAGGTGCCACCACCACGCCCAGCTAATTTTTATGATTTTTTGTAGAGACAGGGTCTTGCTATGTCACAAAATGGACAGGTAGTCTACAAAATAACTGGCTGGTACTCTCAGAAAGTGTCAAAAGAAGACTGAGACACTGTCCTACACTGGAGGAGACTCAGGAGCCCTGACACTGAAACACAACACAGAATCATAGGCCAGACAAGGGCACCAGTGGGACGGCGGAAAACTCCAGGTCAGGCCAATCCGCTGGCTCAGAGGATTTCCAATGTTAACCAAAAGTGACTTCGATAACTATACGAAGATTATATATGATGTTAATATTTCAAGAAGCCAGGTAAAGGGTATACAGGAACTTTATGCTATTTTTCACAAAATTTTTGTAAGCTTGGCATTATTTCAAAATGAGAAGTTAAAATTCATTAATTTACTTGCGATCCTCCCTCCTCCACCTCCCAGAGTGCTAGGATTACAGGTGTGAGCCACTGCACCTGGCCAATTTTTTCTCCCCTAGGAAAGTTATGTTGAAAAATTGCCTGGCCAATTTTTTTTTTTAATTTTTTTTTTTTTTTTTTTTGAAACAGCGTCTGGCTCTGTCGCCCTGGCTAGAGTGCCGTGGCGTCAGCCTAGCTCACAGCAACCTCAAACTCCTGGGCTCAAGCAATCCTACTGCCTCAGCCTCCCAAGTAGCTGGGACTACAGGCATGCACCACCATGCCCGGCTAATTTTTTCTATATATATTTTTTTAGTTGTCCAGATAATTTCTTTCTACTTTTTAGTAGAGACAGGGTCTCACTCTTGCTCAAGCTGGTCTCGAACTCCTGACCCTGAGCGATCTACCCACCTCGGCCTCCCAGAGTGCTAGGATTACAGGTGTGAGTCACCGCGCCTGGCCTTTTAATTTTTTTTATTTCGGCATATCATAGGGGTACAAATGTTTAGGTTATGTATATTGCCCTCGCTCCACCCGAGTCAGAGCTTCCCAATTTTTAATTTAAAGTTTGAAAAAGACTTCTCTGATTTTAAAGTTTTAAAAAAATAGTAATAAATGTTAATTATACATCAGGAGCTTTTCTCTTTAAAGAGCTCAGGCAGGACACATAGAGAGAAAAACCACTGGGAGTAATGCTTGGCCCTCCCAACACAGCTCTCACTTTTTCAGCTATGAGGAGACACCGCCGAGGACCTGCTCTCCACTAAGAGAAACGCCGAGAGGATGATGACAAACAGCAGGTGACAACCAGCCCCAGGCTTGCCAGATGACAGGAAGTGCGGGGACAGTGAACTGGACACAGGCAGGGCCGAAGACGTGGCCACCAGAGAGCTCTGGCCAGCTGCTCCTCAAGACTAGGGCAGCACTACAGCAAGGTCTTACGATTCTTCAAAAGAAGCAAAATTCCAGATTTGTAGGTAGAATATCACAAATTTTATATGTCGGCAACAAGTCCTTTTTTTTTCCAATAAGCAAGCCAGACACATCAAGACTTTGAGCCAAATTCAGCCTTGGCCACCAGTTTTCCAGACACCTAAACCTGCCCTGTTTGTTGCACACTGCAGGGATACTCAAAATTCAAGGCCTCTCGTTTATAACTGACACAAAAGAAGCCCTGAGGAAAGCCCACCCACGGGCAGGGCTGGAGCTGCCAGGGAGGCCATGAGGACCTTCACCCTCAGCACACTCAGTGCCCACACACCTGCCACAGCTGCCGATGGGGACGCCCCTGTGCGGCTCACAGGCCTCAAGCAGAAGACCCCATTTTCCTGAGCAACACACCTTCCCTCCTTCCCTCCTCATCCTACCTCCAGGAAAAAGGCAAAGGAGAAAGATGACACACAGGTGCACCTCAGAGTAGGTGAAGAAATATTATAAGTATCCAAAGAAACACCTGTCAAAGGGGCTGATGCACACACCCACACACGAAGAACTCACAGCTGTAAAACTTCCATTTCCAAAGCAAGCAACTAACACTTGCCTTCAAGCAGTCAATCCAAAATTCCTCAAAATCATATAAAAAAGATAAAACATTTATTAAGAGTAAAACAATAAAAATTGACTCACCTTTTGTAAAGTAAAATAAAACCCTCTTGACCCACTTTTGAAAGAAAAACAAGACCAAAGATCGCTTTTAGTAAATTACGCTAGCAATGACTGTGAGACGGGCAAAATGCTAAAGCACAACACCGAGTTGATCTACCTGAGCTGCAAACGCCCCTCTCGCCCCATCAGGGCTGTCGACACACGCCGTGCTTTCGCAAACACCCCCTCCTCCAAGGCACGCGCCGTCGTCGGTGGCTACCGGACTCTCCTCCTGGACAGGCGCATCGACAGCCGAGCCCTTCCTCTTCGACGTCTTTTTCTCCGAATTCGCACAGTCACCTTTTGTTTTTCTCTGTCGGAAGTGAGCAAGCTGCGCAAAAACGTAGAGAAGTAGTAAAGGCAAAGGTAAGTGAGAAAAAAATAACAGAACCACAAGGTCCACAGACTGGTGGGGAACATGAGGCCCTAGGGCTGACTCAGTCCACTCAGCCACACCTGCCCAATAGACCGCTTCGCCACAAACATCGATGACACTGGGACTAAGTTCACAATTACATCCAGAGAGTCTAACAATGAGGACTGTTAATTATGCCTCCATACAGACAAAGGAAAACAACACAGCCAATGGGCAGAATCGCTTTTCTAGCCCTTGGCAGTTCACAGAAAAATAAAACTTTTAAAAATACTTCTATTTAAAAGACTCATAGCTTAAAGTATATTGAAGGTTTAAAATTATATAAAAGCTAAACCTCTCCTTTCTTGCCCCTATTTTCCCCCAATCAAGGAAATATATAGCCCAGCCAAAACTTCCTAGCTAACCATAGATTCTGAGACAAGGTTCAGAAATAGCAAAAAATTAATTAAGCCAGGTCAATCTAACATCTTCCTTTATGAAATCAGATGTTCCATTTTTCACGACACAGCTCACCAAAGCACCAGGGACCTAGACAGAATGTCGCCCATCAGAAAGCACAACCTAGCTGTTCAGTCCCTCAACTCCGAGGGTTTTAGGCTATGTGCACACACCACCTCCCCACTAACACCTTAGTCAAAAGGTATGAGATCGAACATCAGCTTTTCACAGGGGGACATCTCTTTCCTCAAATGACAACTGTGGCTATAAAAACAAATGCATTTAACAAACATTTGTGTAAATAATACAAGTGCACAATTTCATGTGACACTGGAGAATTACACAAGGCCATTTCACGAGAAATAGCCTCTCAAGGACAGACTGCCTCCAAAAACAACCCCATTTTCATTTATTTTAATGCCATCCTCCACCACATCCAACCATCTGTGGCAGGGTTCTTTTTCCACAACACAGACCTGGCTTCTGACCCACCTGGCCCAACGAAAGGTATCTTGTTCCTTCCTCTCCCTCAATGGTACAAACCAGCAAGCTCGGGGAACACATAAAGTAACTGCTAAACTTCGGGTTCGCTTTCACCTCCTGGCCCATGTATGTGCCAGGCCTCCCTCTCAAACCCCAATCAAAAGTCTCAACATCACGGGGAGCCTAAGTGCGGCCACTCTGTCCTCTGCCTATCACCTGCCTGTCCCTGTCACTGCTCCACTCCAGTAGCTTTCTATCATGCGGTGGCCCTGTGGTTTCGAGGGAAGGAATTAGCACTGAACACCTCCTACTTGTGATCATTATGAAATTCCTAATGTTGTACCGTTTGACCTCAAACACAGGTTCATGAGGCTCAGCCTCACTGCCTGACAGAGCTGGTAACTTCCTGGGGTCCCACAGCCAGAACAGGTGGCACAGCGAGTGGGAGTCACATCCAAAGCGCCCACGGTTCTCCGCTCTGCCTCTAGAGCGCGGGTCTACTGAGCATGTTTTAACCCCCACAATATGTCCTGAGAACAGTGAGCACCAAACGGAGAGTATTTTATTTAATGAAAAACGGGGGCAGAAGGATGATGATGAAAGCTCCCTCAGAGAAACCTGGCTCCAAGCCACACGGAGCCCACTGGAGCGCAGCCCACCGCAGCGCCCGCACCATGGAGGGGCAGCCCGGGGAGGCGCTCCACAGCGGGGCACCACTTAGGGGACTTTCTCATATACCAAAAACTTGCAAGCCAGGCGTGGTGGCTCACTGTGACCTTGAGGCCAGAGCTTGGAGACCAGCCTGGGCAACATAGTGAGACCCGGGCTCTACAATGAGTAAGAGAACGTAGCTACTGGGGAGGCTGAGGCGGGAGGACAGCCTGAGCCTGGGAGTTCGGGGCTGCGGCGAGCCGTGGTGACGCCCCTGCAGTCGAGCCGGGAGACAGAGCGAGACCTTGTGTCACACCGTGACAGAATTCCAAGTGAGAGGAAAATCTGAAAGGGAGACCAGCCCTGGGGACGGCTCTGCAGCGCCACGTGCCCCCGGAGCAGAACCCGGCACAAGGCTGCGCGGCAACCTGAGGAGCAGCCGCCCCCAGGACCCAAGCTGTCAGGTTTCCCGGGCTGCCCGGCGCGCAGGGCCGGGACTCAACACCCGCCCGACCACCGCGCAGGCGCAGGCTCGCCCCGCCCCGCCCCGGCGTTCCCCGCGCCCGGCACGCCCGCGAGGCGCTGCGCGCCCAGGCCGCTGATTGGCTGCGGCCGCGGCGGGGGCGGGCCCAAGCGGAGGGCGGTGGATTCATGATGGCGGCGGCCAAGAAGCAGCTTCCCCGGGAGCCGGCGTGAAAGCCGAGACTTCGGCGGCGGTCCCAGCCCGACCGCGTATGCTCCCGGCAGGGTGCGGTGGCGGACACCGGAGCCTGCGCTAGGACTTCACGCCGGAGCAGCGAGAGGAGGAGGCGCTGTGTTTACCTTCGCTCTCCCGGCCTCCACCTTTCCGCGCCGCTGCTTTTGTTCGGCTGCTTCCATCTTCCTCTGGGGCTCCTCGCGGGTCGCCCAGGGACTGCGGGGCCGACGCGCCGCCGCCTTCGCTCTGTTTACACTCCCTCCCCCTCGCCGGGCTCGCTTGCCCCCCGCGGCAACTGTCACGCAGCCGCGCCTGCCCCGCCCGGTGCGCCCGCCAATCACGGCTGCGACCTTGCGCGAGCGCACGCGTGCAGGGAACCGCGCGACCCGTGCGGAGCCCCGCCCCCACCTATCGCCGGCCTCCAATTGGCCGGTGATGTGCCCGCCTCCTCCGGAAGGACCAATGAGTGGGGCGCACAGGCCTAGGCGCGCGCTGTGGTAGGCCGATTTCAAAAGCCCGCCCAGGCCGCGGCGCGCGCAGAGCCGCTGACTCGGTGGGCCTCAGCCGCTCGGTGGGCCTCAGCCGCTTTCGGTGGGCCTCAGCCGCTCGGTGGGCCTCAGCCGCTCGGTCCGCACCGCCAGGAGTCACTGACTTGGTAGCCCCGGGGCTCGCGGCCCTTCAGCGGCCCCGGCGTTGCAGGGACAGGGAGCCCCTAGGGGGGAGTCCCCGGAGCCGTATCCTCTGCGGCCTGGGGGTGCGCGGGCCCACAGCCGTCGCCCCCGCTCCCCCAGCTCTGCCCCGAGCGGCCTCCCGGAACAGGCGCGGTGAGGGACTCCGTGCAGGCGGCGGCACTCAGCCCACGGGTAGGGGCAGTCGCACGCCTGGACTTCTGTCTGTTCCGGGCAGGGCCGTCCCTGAACCGCGAGGACGGAGGCTCCGAGGGCTGACTTTCTGAAATATGTCCTCCAGGAAGCCCCACTGTCTCATTCCATTTAATGTGTTAGGTGTCTGTTCTTGATGACATGAGAGCGGGTTTCTGGTTTCTCTTTATTCCATGCACTTGTCCGTGTGCCTTCACTTGAATGCAGTTTGTTGTGGGAAAAGTGTTTGCTCCTTTCTCTTAAACAGCAGTAACAGTAACGAACACCTTCCCTTGCTGCCAGAGTGACACCTTGCTGATACAAGCTCATGTTGCAACCTCAGCAAGAACGTGGCTCTGAGGAACTACAACTTAAATCTCCTTCCAGAAGCCCCAGAAACTTGATCCCAGAAGGTCGTCCTCCTCCCTAGTCAGACCACAGCCCGTCGTGTAGTCAGTGGGTTTGCAGTCGCAGCTCCAGTCCAGGAGTCTCCTGGCTCCCAGGCGAGGAATTGGGCGGTTTGAGCAAACGGGGCAGTGCGTCAGGGGTCAGGCAGGCAACAGCCTGAGGCGTGGGGGCTCTCTTGCAAAAACAGTCAGAGACCCAGATTTTGCGAATCTCTCAAATTTTTTGGGTTACAGTCGTTGACTGAAGAAAGAAAAAACCCAAGCTTTTAAAGAATTAAAGTTAGTTTTATTCAGAAGTCTTACCGAGGACCACGGCCCAGCCCAGCCGACATCTTGCAGACTGCTCGCACACAGAGGTTTAGCTCACAGTTCGGCAGAGGTTCGGTACCTGCAAAAGCACATCAAGGTTTGGGTGTAAGAGTGCAGTACATCTGGTTATAGCTTACAGAGGCATAATCACTAACCCCACCAGACGTCTTACGTGCAGGGAAAGGCAAGACGGGATTATTCACCTATTAGGGAATATAATGACTCAGGCAAGAGATGCGGGACCATGTGCTCTATCCCATTTTGTCCTCAAAGCATCCTTCTGGAGAGCTGCACGTTGTCAGAGTCAGGGGCTTGTGAAATTACACTGGCAGCAGAAACGAGCACACACAGCTTCTTACATTTGCTACTTTATTTCACATGATATATTTAAAACTTGGCGGGGGGGAGCGGTGTGGATGTGCCCGGGTTGCCCGAACTGTGTTCCGGGCTTCTGAAACCCCAGAGTCATTTCCATGGACATTCAAGAGGGCCTCTGCAAATGTCGGACCTGAGTCTTATTTCAATTTATTTTTAACTATTAAAAAGCTGTCAAATTATGTACGTACCCCCAAGGAGAGAGAACTTAACTCCCCATCCCTCAAGTGTGAGCTGTGCCTAGTGACTTCCTCCCGAAGAACACGGATAAGAAAAGAGGACAAAGTGTCACTTTATGGTGGAGGAACCTGACAGACTTCACCTCAGCCGGGTGCCCAGGTCAGCAGCTCAGAGACGAGTCTCTTGACAGTGTGTGCCTTGGATACGGGAGGTGACAGCCACTGCGTTTCACCTCTGTGACCTTCCTCCAAACCCCGCAGCCCAGCCCAACCATGACAGAACTTCATACAAACTTCAGTTGAGGGACATTCCACAATATCCCTGCCAGTGCTCTTCAACACCCTCCAGGTCATCAAAACAAGGCGAGTCTGAGACACTGTCACTGCCGAGAGGGGCCCAAGGAGACGTGACAACCACATGTCATGTGGGCTGATTATCAGGATGGGATACCACATTAGGGACATCAGGCAAAAAACTAAGGAAATTGAATAAAGTATGGACCTAGTTAATAATGTCTCCATCCTGGTTCATTAATTGTAACACGCAGCGAACTAACACACAAGTTCATAATGGGGGAGCTGTATGTGGGGGCTGTTCAGGTACTATCTTCTCAATTTTCCTGTAAATCTAAAACTGTTCGAAAAAGCCTATTTTAAAAAAACCTGTCTAACAAATCTGTGCCCACTTGAACGTGTGTGTACCACCCAGCGTGACCTCCTAGCTACCTTGAGTTGCTTAACTAAATTAACCGGTTTTTGTGCACACTCAGACCTGTTTAGTGTCTCCTAACACAGTCACGGTCCGCGAGTGTGGACAAGAGCTGGGTCTGAGACGTGGGGCTGCGTGCGCTGGCGCGGACCCTGGGCCGGCAGCACGGGCGCTGCGGGCGCAGTGCGTGCTCCAGGCAGGCGCGCGGGCTCAGGCCCCGCGATGCGAGCGGAGGGCCTTGTCTCCGCCGTCTCAGGCCTCGGGTGAAGGTGTGTTGAACTGGCGGACGTCAAAGGTAAACCCCGGACCCCCCAGGACCAGCGGGACAGCTACTCCAGTCCAGCCTGGTCCGCGAGTGCCCTGGAGGCTCGGCCCTGCAGCCTTAGGTCCCCCAGGTCCGCGGGGCACGGAAGGGCCGTGGCAGGCATGAAACCGCGAGTGCCGCGTGCGGGCGGTGCTGGCGGCCACGCAAGTTCCCGGTCAGCGGCGTGGAGGGTAGCGGCCAGCGCCCCCGTGCCCAGGGCCCCCGCGCCCCTGTGTGACCCCATCCCCAGGGCTCCCCGCAGGGGTGTTCCCCCGTCCCAGGGCGCCTCTCGCTGTCCCCAGGGCGCCTCTGCGTCCCCAGGGGTATCCCCACCGGTCCTCAGGCCCGACCTCCCACTCCTGTCCCCAGGGCCCCCCACGTCCCCGTGTGACCCCATCCCCAGGGCTCCCCGCAGGGGTGTTCCCCCGTCCCAGGGCGCCTCTGCGTCCCCAGGGGTATCCCCACCGGTCCTCAGGCCCGGCCTCCCACCCCCGTCCCCAGGTCCGGCGGGCCAGGGTGACCGTCGGTCGGTCTGGAGGTTAAGGCCCAACCCAACGCACCACCGTGTCTGTGTCTTGAGCCCTGCCCTGAGGGAAGGCCTGGCCAGGGTCGCAGCAAGGCTGCCCCACCGAGGTGTCCCTCGTCCCGGCCCCGTGCCGCCTCCCCTCTGCCCTGCAGAGTCCCCCAAAGCCCGGGCGGGCGCCCCCGCACCCCGCGCCCCCAGCGCCCCGCGGACCCCGCGCGCCCTGCGCCCCGCGCGCCGGCCGTGCTGCGCTCCCTCTGCGCCCGCAGGCTCCCTGGAGCCGCAGGGGGTTGAGGCGCCCGCTCCTCCGGGCTGCCCTGCCCACTTCTCTCCCCGCCCGCGCAGCCCCGCCTGGCCACACCTGGGGACCAGTGTTTGCAGGTCTCGGAAAGTCCTCTCCCAGGGAACGGGCGGCCGCCGCTCGCTCCCGCCCCGCAGCCCCGCGGCTTGCCGGACTCCGCAGCCAGGGAGCGGCGCGGCCCTTCCCGCGGGCTGTCTGGGACCACTGGGGCTGGTCTCCAGGAGGTAAACCGAGGCCCCGCAAGGCAGCCGGGCTCCTGAGCCGTTCCCTCCTGCAGGTGACAGAACCTGGGAGAGGTGGGCTGTGGCTCACCTGCCCCACGGTCATCTCCTACGGTTGTGACATGCTGGACTCGTCTGTGGCAGAACAAATGACCCGACTGACGCTGAAACTCTTGGGACAGGTGAGACAGGGCCCCGGACACTCCTGTTTTTAACGACTCCGTAAAGGAGCTCTGCTTTAGGTTGCCAAATAGAACTTAAGATACCACGTCCACGGTTCCTCCCTCTAGCAAACTGCCTAGCAGTATATTCCTGCTTCCAAAGCAAACCTCTTTTCCGTGGTTTTTAGCCTCATAATAAAGAAATGTGGTTTCCTGGTTTTTTTCTTTGCATTTATACAGAACCAAGTAGATTCTTCCAGCAATTTGTGCATTCAGGAGGCAGGCATGAACCCGTCCACCAGAGGTCTCCACAGCCCCGCAAAGCTCCAGCAGAGCGTCCCAGGAGTCAGTGTTTAAGGGACACTCCCTTTGGAGACAGAGCCCGCTGGTGCAGGACGCAGGGCCCCGAGGGATGGGCCTGGGGCTGGTGGCCTGGCAGACCCATTCTCATGCCTGGTCTTAACCGTCGCTGAGGGTCTGGGTGGTCCCTGACGGGCCTGCCTGTCCTCTTGGGGTCCCCAGGGGCGTCCCCTGTCTGCCTTGTTCCTCTTGCGGCACCTGCCCCCAGCCTCTTGCCAACCCTGCACCCCACATCCAGATGGCCCATGGCTGCCGTGGAAAGGGCGGACAGGGGTCACCCTAGGACAGACCCAGCGGGCAGCTGCTGCGCCCATGACCCAGGTGGGGTGAGCAGGATGCTCACTGGCCAGGAAGCCCAGGTGGCCTCACCCAGACGGTCTCTTCTGGGGCTGTTCTCCAGAAATCTGCCTGAGGGCCAATGAGAGCATCCATGCCATGCATTACACTGAATGCGTGACCAACACAGTCCCTAGGAGGACACCCTCACACAGCACTTCCTGCCCCCAGTACTTCTGTCTGGGGCGCTGGCCACACGGGGGAAGCCACTTGGTCATTTCTAGAGCAGGGCGTGTTCTCCACTCACACCGAGCCTCT